CTTAGGTTACACATCTAGCTCTGCATAATGCCTATGCATCAAAAGGGGAGAGACAAAGACCAAAAGTGATAATACAAATCAAATCACCAATGCAAATGTTTTCCACTTTTCTTTTTACAAGGCTTCAGTTTATAACTAGAATCTTATTGTATTGGCAGTAATTAGCATATGCTAAATATTTTGTACAGTACTAGTTAATGAAATGAAATCTGGATTATTTTGTTGTTGTTAATGGGAACAAAGCACACAATACCTTCTGTATGCTAGTGGAAGACAAATGATGAGACATCATAAATCCTATTTACAAAATGTTTAAATTTTCACTTTTACCAAAAAGAAAATGTAAAATATTTTCATGACCAGGCACACACATGTTAACAGACTTACCTTCCTTCGCTAACCTTTACTTTGTCTCCAAGGCATCTGAGGTTTTCAATGTAACCATCACTGCAGTTGATACGACGCCAATCTGGTTTACATATGTCCAGAAAGTGAGGCCTCAGTCTACCTATTGAATATTTGGCAATGTCTGTCAAAGATTGGCTAACAGCTGCACCAAAAAGGAATGTTCCCAGAGCCTTGTAAATAGTAGCAACGTAGCTATTTCTCACAAATGAATTAGAGTGCAAACAGTTGTGATATACTGAAAGGGCCTCTCCTATGATTATCTGGAATAAAAAAGAAAAGAATGTTTTAAAAATTGCAACACAAGTAAAACATGCTGCATACTCAAGTCTGAACGTGGGCTTCCAATGAACCAGGTGATAATTAAGCCTATAAAGGTTCTGTAAAAATAATTTTACAGAACCTTCAGATGACTAGTTCATGGAGTGATCGAAAACAAAGTGAAGGAAATATAAACTTTCCTTTTGTTTGTTCCTGTCCTGGCTTTAATGAACTGATAACATGAACTAGAAACCTTCCCCTCTATCCTTACCACCAGACAAAACACTGCTTCCCGGAAAATCCAGCAGTGGTACCATCAGCAAGGAACACATTTAACTTTTCATCAAATTTCCACTCATTCTTAACCTTTTGCTTAAAAGAAATGGTTTCTTTGCCAAGAACTTGATCGTTCTGGAAATTCAGGAACCAAGTGAAAGGGCTAGACAACAATGTTCTTGCCAGAGATGTTAAAGGCCAACTTTTAAACATGGGAACCTCCCAGGCTTCAGCTAGATGGAATCTTTTAAACCGGACACGCTTCCTTCAGAATATAATGGTTTCCTAAAACAAAAGCAAAGGTGCCAAAGGTGGAAATCTAGAATTATGGAAAATAACAATTTATAGTGTTGGTATTCAACTTGGCTGGAAGTATTTGTGCTTATCTTTTATAACTGACGTTATAATAATAAGCGGATTGTTAATTATAACCATCTTATTCGAATATAATTTTGCAAGTTCTAACTATGGATGGTTATCAGTTGTATCACTATTCTATTATGCTTTTATTGCCAAACTTTTATCATCCGTGTTTATTTCTCATAAGTTGCCTTGAGGGAGTTTTGCTCCAGAAAGTGGTCTACTTCAAGGATCATTTAATAATACTAACTTTGTATACGATGCTTCAGCTTTAGTTTTTCCTGTGTAGTGGCTTATAATGGTTTAGTAAGTGGTAATCTAGGAAATATTGATATCTGATTGAATTATACAAAAGCTGGACTTTCAAAAGCTCTTTGGAGAATGGAAACAACTGCCCTGGGCTCACATGTGAAGGTAAACCATCTTGGGAACATCTCCTCAAGGAGTTTCATTACATTTCTAGGCAAAGTCACTTCTTAGAGAAGCTATGATATTTTATATATGACTTCATGGAACTTTACAGAATATACAAGATACTTAATCTTGCCTTGAAATATTATTTATAGTTTAATATATTATGTCATACTTGTTGCATGCAGTTTGATTACCACCTTGTCAGTTTCAGGGCAGGGATTTAATTAGCACTACTGTCAGACTATTATTTTGTGGCAACAGAAACTCCTGAGTCCAATCCAGTTAGCAGTATTTTACTCCATGGTTCCATCAAAGCAGCTTGTTTAATTGCTGGTAGCTATTTCAACTGTAATGCAGGACTAAACATTTCAAATTAATTTTGAATCCTTATGTGATTTGCTCATCTCTTTTGTCTACATATTACTGTGCTTTAATGGTAATTTGGTATAAGCATCTTGGTTCATGAAATGTATAAACCAGAAATTTGACTTTCCTCAAGAAATCATAATTTGGCAATGAATTATTTAGCTTCTATTTTTAGAAAAACATAATTGATGCAGTTGTATCTATTTGCTCAGAAGCTGGGCTAATACTTTCCGGTAATGGTAATCCATGGTAACACTAAAGATAATACATTTAAACAGAAGAAAAAAACGGAAGATGAGTTACATAGTTCTTAAATATGAGTGAATTTTAGTTTATATCTCTTTGAATGTGTGATAAAGGTGATTGGAGATATCAACTGAACTTCAGCGATGTCTATAAATCAGTATCAATGGTAGTAATGGGTGGCTATTTATTGTCTACAAATGTTTTATGATATGGTGTCCCTTAAAGTTTTCCAATTTTTCCTGTTGCTCAAAAGTCTTTCACAAAAATAACAAAAGCAACCAAGTTCAATATAATCCTTATACGGATGAGACACCAAGAAAGAAGTTTCTTGTATCAGGAGCACTAGAAGTTCCATTTTAGTTTCTAGATTGTTTGAGTCCAGCAGCTGAATGAGTCAGAATGTCATGCTTTATTAGTTAGGGATGTGGAAACAATATTGATTGGAAGGAAAAACATTAAGATTGTCTCTCCATCTTCCCTATATGTTGAGATATTATAGGCTGCCAATTTGGAACAGAATCATGTATTTCTACAAGATAGCATATTCAGCTACAGCAATCTTCATTAAAAGGCATATGTGCCTATGTAGCTAACCACAAGACATGAAGTGTTCTTTTTAACAATGCGGCTACTCACTGAATTAATAATAGTGGTCTTATTATATTTGTGGTGCAACCTTTATAATAATATCTCTCACTATGTAATATTGCTTTTAAGGGCCCTAAGGAGTGAGTAGACGTAGCTGCCTTTATAACCTATTCCTGCAGTGATTCCGTAGAATCTACTTGCCTTCTGAGAGCATGATGCTGAAAATAAGGTTATGAGCCAGCAAGAATAGAAATATCACCATCTCAGATAACAGTGTACAATCTGTTAAATAATGCATACCATATCTGAACTTAGGGATGTCATGGAACAGAGATAGCCTATGTTTGCTGAACATACCTGGGAATTGGATTCCTCAGGCTACAAAAGATCAATACCAAAATATTTTATGGACATTTCACTCCATGTGGCAGCAAGAGTTTGTGAGCTCAGTTGTCCAATCTGACTACTAAGAGCAGACGTATCTGAACTTCAAAACTCTGGATGAATACTCTTCTTGTTACTGTATCATAGTCATTCAGATTTTAACAGCCCAGTTTGCCTACTTTCATTTCATCTTGGAAAATACTTGAACTTGTTTTTTCTATCTTCATAATGTCAACACTTAAAGGCTTTTCAGTTAGTTAAATGCTGCAATCTATTGTTCACAAAGGAATATAAACTGCATCTGGTTTTAAAGAGGGAACAATCAAAAAGCCAGTTCTAGGCATTGAGTTATATTTTCCAGAATATAGTAGAATATAGTATGTAGTAAATATATAGATTAGATAGTTAATAAAGACTGGAAAAATCTAGACTGGAAGACAGCCATTTTAAAAAATGCATATTTCGAGGGAAAAAAGGTTAGAATGATTTCTCCATTTATGTGCTTGACATTCCACATAGGTCTGGAAGCTTTTTAATAAAAATAAAACAACAAATTGTTACTTCAAGCTCCAAAAATGCCAATTAAATTACCCAATTCTTCTGATTTATTTTCTACCCAACATATATATGAAGCTAAACACAATGAAATGTCTGTACTGGTTCATTTATTTATTTACTTACTTATTCAATTTCTATAGCAATTTCTGAGCAATCTTGGACTAACATAGTAAATTTCACTGTTTTGAATTATTTATTTTAACACATTTTAAGCTTGCCTTTTTTCTATCATACAACTGAACACAAAAGGTTAGGCACACCTAATAAAATTATACATTTCAATGAATCTGTAAGTAAATAGAAGTTGACAAAACCTGTACATCGGACAAAGGTAAATGTGACATCTTCCTATAAATCTGAATGCATGCTATTTTTTTTATGAACAGTCATTACCTATTCAAAATAAGAAAGTGCCCTATCATCCATACAGTACTCAAAGGGAAAAAAAATACCAAAGTTTTGGAATGTCTTCATAATCTTCCATCTTGAATAATATTTAAAATCTGTAGGAGCTCTCAAACAAGCAATGCATTCAAAGATATATTAAAATGTTTTTAAACTACGGGAGAATGGAGAAAAAAAATCAAAATGCAAAACCAGAATGATTTGGAAACTATTATTTCTGCCAAAAGGAGTACAATAAAGTACTGACAGAAAGGGTGTCCAGATTTCCCCATCTGTCATATTCATTGTTTTCTTATTTGGAATCTGTAAACATAAATAGTAAGTAGGCATTTAAATTTGAGGAAGGATGTCATATTTAATTTCATACTGTATGTCAGATTCTGTTTACCTAGAGATTCGCTGAACATACAAATTAATCAGGGGTGCCTGAACTTTTTTATAAAACTAAGGTTCCTCTGCTTATATAGTTTGAATGAGTCTTTGATAGGACATTACACTAGAAGTCAAGAAGACTAGCAATTCTTTTTAGAAATTCAGTTTTCAATACAGAAAATTAGGTAAAAATCCTTCAAATGACTTTTTATAAATGCTTAGCATAAGTTGGAACAAACAAGGCAAATCCTTTCCTTTTTAGTTAATGTGGTCATGGTTATAGAACCTTGAGAAGATCCTTGACTAAAATGGTTTGAAACTACTTCTAGAACAGTCAGTAATAAAATAGCAAAATGTGTTCTGGGAACTACTGAGATCAAGCTATTTTTAGTTAAACTTAAGAGAGCAAAAGAACAGAAATCAGAAGGAAAGATTAATCCATTCACTTATGCTGCATTTCTGCTGCAAAAATGTAAATCATGTTACATTAAATCATCAACAGTCACTTTTCTCACTTCTTAAAAATGCAGTAATAAATGTTGTCTCTCTTTCAATACGTAGATATCTGGGATTTAAAAAATGGGCATGCAAGGCATTTTATCCACAGAGTCATTAAGAAAAAGGCCTGCTTTGATGTCATATAACTATTGTACAAACATTTTTTTCAGTATAAGAAAAAGTCTTACTAGAAATAAGCTAAACTATAATAAATGTGCAGCATAATATTAGGGACCCACAATTACCTGTCTCAATGCATTAAAAAAATAAAATTCAAATATCATTATGAGGTCCACTTAATTGAGCAAACACAGAAATGGTGGCAGATGAAACTCCAACAACATTCTCCCTATAGAGATCATTATTTTATTTCTGCCTCCTATAATGGGAACACTAAAAAGAAAGAAAGAAAGAAAGAAAGAAAGAAAGAAAGGAAGGAAGGAAGGAAGGAAGGAAGGAAGGAAGGAAGGAAGGAAGGAAGGAAGGAAGGAAGGAAGGAAGGAAGGAAGGAAGAAATTCCCATTAAATTAAACAA